TAAGAAAGTCTGTTATTTGTGCAACTATTAAGTTCATTCAAACTGCTGGATTTTATAGGATTTTTTGGCTTAATTGATCAGATACTGCAATGTTAGGACAAGGTAAAGTTAGTTACCCACACCAGTTTTACTAAAGTTTTATAGAAATTGAAATCTATCACTCAGCCTTTTATTTTAGGTGACATTATGTAGTAAATAGAATTGAATTCTTTTTCACTTTAATATCACGTAGACAATATAAGCAAAATAGAATGTAATATATAGACAAGATTATAAAATATATATCTATATATAATGTATGTAATTTTTATTTTTTTGAGGAACCACTATACTGTTTTCCAGAGTAGTAAACCAATTTACATTTCTACCAACAGTGCACAAGAGTTTCCTTTTCTCCACATCCTTACAAACACTTACCTCTTGTTTTTTTGATAATGGGCATTCTAGTAGGCGTGAGGTGGTATCTTACTGTAGTTTTGATTTGCATTTTCCTGATGATTAAAAGTAATGTTTAATTACTTTTAAATTAAAATAATGTTTGCACCTTTTAACATACCTGTTAATCATTTGTATGTCTTCTTTGGAAAAAAAAAAGTCTATGCATATCGTATTATTTTTTAACCACACTGTTTTTGCTACCGAGTTGTATGAGTTTCTTACATGTTTTGGATATTAACCCCTTGTTAGATAATTTGCATATATTTCCTCCCATTCCATAGCTTGCCTTTTCATTTTGTTAATTGTTTATTTTGCCGTGCAGAAGCTTTTTAGTTTGAGTTAAATCAGTGGTTCCACTTACTGATTTTTGCTTCCGTTGCTTGTCCTTTGGTGTCATATCCCGCCCCCCGCCCACCACCACCAAAAAAAGATTGTTGCCAAGACGCATGTCAAGGAGCTTCCTCTTATTTTTTTCAAGGAGTTTTATTGTTTCAGCTTCTACATTTAAATCTTTAATCCATATGAAGTTAATTTTGGTGAGTGGTGTAAGATAGAGATCCAGTTTCATTCTTCTACATGTGCTTATCCAGTTTCCCCAACACCATTTATTGAAGAGACTCTTCTTTCTCTTGAGTATTCTTGGCTCCCTTGTCAAATGTTAGTTGACCATACACGTGAGGGTCTATTTCTGGCCACTCAGTTCTATTCCATTGGTCTATGTATCTGTTGTGTACGCCATACCATACCATTCTGATTACTGTAGCTTTGCAGTAACAGTTTGAAATCAGGAAGTGTGATATCTTCAGGTTTGGTCTTCTTTCATAGGAGTCCTTTTGCTATTTGAGATCTTTTATGGTTCTGTGTAAATTTTAGATTGTTTTTTCTATTTATATGGAAAATGCTATTGGAATTTTGGTATGGATTGCATTGAATTTATAGATGGCTCTGGGTAGTATGGGCATTTTAACAATATTCTTCCAAATGATAGACATGGTATATCTTTCCATTTACTTGTGACTTTTTCAATTTCTTTCATCAGAGTGTTAGTTTTCAGCGTACAGATCTTTTATTTCCTTGGTTAAATTTATTCCTTACTATTTTGTTATTTTTGATGCTATTGTAAATGGAATTGCTTTTTTGTTTTTCGTATATTTTGTTGTTAGTGTATAAAACTGCTATATGTTACAGCAGTCTTCTGCATTTTAATTTTGTATACTGCACCCTTACTGAATTCATTTATTCTACCTGTTTTTTGGTGGAATCTTTAGGATTTTCTGTATATAAGATTATATCATTACCAAACAGACAATTTTAACTTCTTCCTTTCTGATTTGGAGTAAATGAACAAGCATATTTGGCATGGAGCACAGCTCTCGAGGGTTCCATCATACCTTTCCCTAACTTAATCCCCAATGTTTTTATATTTGGAGATTGGGCTTTGGGGAGGTGATTAGGTCACAGGGCAGAGTCCTCATAAATGAGATTAGTTCCCTTATAAAAGAGACTACAAAGAGCTTCATTGCTTCTTTCACTGTTGGAGGAACTGTGAAAAATAAATGTTTGTTGTTTAAGCCACCTGCTCAATAGTATTTTTGTTATAGTATCCAGAGTGGACTGAGATAACTATCTATTAATGAACAGGTACATGTGTGCTAAGTCAATTCAGTCCTGTCTGACTCTTTGAGACTCTGTGGACTGTATCCCGCCAGGCTCCTCTATCCATGGGATTCTCCAAACAAGAACACTGGAGTGGGTTGCCATATCCGCCTCCAGGGGATTTTCGCAACCCAGGGATCAAACCGCATCTCTTACATCTCCTGCATTGGCAGGTGGGTTCTTTACCGCTAGTGCCACCTGGGAAGCCCCATTAATGAACACCCCAGCACAATGTCCTATAGAACATGTGACTCAAACTTACTGAGAATGTCTTTGAGTGAACTCGCTCCTTAAGTGGCACAAACCCACCTTTCTTGAACTTTAAGATCTCTGCCAGTCCTTTATTTGAATGCTGGGAAAGAAACCTAAAGTTTTCAAACCTAAGGTTGTGATTGGGCAGGAAGCCTGGGAGCTTCTGATAGAATCTCAGTGCCCTCAATGAATCTTAACAAATTACCCTTAAAAGAATAAGCTTCTCTTCCCCATTCATTTCCACCTTAGTCATCTCTAGAAAGTCACTGAGGACCCCCAGCTAAGAATTTATACAGCCACGGTTGCAGCAGTGAACCTCAAAGGTGGTCTTCATGCAGATAAAAGGGAAAGTCATGAATTAACTGAATATAGGTCAGCTTTGGGTCCAATTTTTTTTTTTCCATCTTGTGGATTGAGATCATCTCAACCCTTGAAATGTTTCTTCTTTGAAGGATGTCTGGGTACACAGTTACTCAACATTTGGACAGTGAGGAGAAGTCTGTCTCCTTGGCTTGCCCTCTGCTGTTTCTTGGACTCTTTAAGCTCCCATGAAGAGTTAATCCACACTGAGTGATCCAGACTTGGAGAAATGTCCTGCTGGGGGATGTGGTAGACACCGCAGTGAGACCAAACCTCTGGGGAGGGGTCAAGGTTTCCTGAAAGGTACATGAAAACTGACCACGTGTGTGTGTGTGTGTGTGTGTGTATGTATGTATACACACAACAAACCTTTAACCATTCCTTGTCAATGGACATTTAGGTTGTCTCCATGTTTTGGCTATTGTGAATAGTGCTGCTATGAACACAGGGTGCGTGTATTTTTTTGAATTATAGTTTTGTCCGAACATATTCCCAGATGTGGGAGCTGGATCATATGGCAATTCTATTTTTAGTTTTCTAAGAAACCTCTATACTATTTTCCATAGTGGCTGTACCAAGTTACGTTCCCACCAACAGTGTAGGAAGGTTTCCTTTTCTCTGCACCCTCTCCAGCATTTGTTTGTTGGTTTTAATTATGGCCATTCTGGACTGGTGTGAGGCAGTACCTCGTTGTACTTTTAATTTGCATGTCTCTGATAATTAGTGACATTGAGCATCTTTTCATGTGCCTACTGGCCATCTGTATGTCTTATTTGTAGAAATGTCTATCAAGGTCCTCTGCCCATTTTTCGATTGGGTGTTGGGGTTTTCTGTCGTTGAATTGTTTGAGCTGTTTGTGTATTTTGGAGATAAAGCCCTCTTCTGTCACATCATTTGAAAATTGGCCACTAGTCACTACCTGAATCCTCATCTCTGAGATGTACAAGCACAGATACGTTGCTTAGCTTCTATTTGCCTCAGTTTCTTCATCTCTGAGGTGAGTGTCATGATTTTATCTACCTCACAGGGTTTGATGAAGACTGAATTATTTAAGGTATAGAACACACCCAGAAGTTCTTGGTGCATATTGATCAGTAATAATTATTGATACTAATGATCTGTATGTTGGAGGGAAGAGACACCTAAGAGAAAGGGAACCAGGTTGTGACCAATGTGTGCCAGTGAGGGGAATCTCCTGAGTAGTAGAATTTCTTGGGTTATGATCAGCATCTAAACTGTAATTTTTCTGAATTACCTATAACGCTTCCTTAAGCCTGAAATTCCTGCAGAGTCTGTTATAAGCTAGGGGTGTTACGGAAAATAAAGTGTCAGGACAGTCAAGGAATCACTCTCTGCCTCTGCCACAGGAGAGAACAGCTCCCTCTCGGGGACTGCGTCAGAGTTCCAGGAGTGAAGGGCAGAGGCTTTGGTCCATGGGGGAGCCAAGAGCCTGCAGAGAGATCCCCAATAGTCACAGACACAGGAGAAGTCCTCAGGCATTCCAGATTTGCCAGAGGAAACTGTTGGAAAGGGGATGGTTGGAGGGGGTAACAGATGCTTGGGTTGCCTGGAAAAGATTTTCTCCAAATTTCTTGTGTTCCTACCTGCCTGGCCAGGTGAGCTCACAAAGCATTTAAGAGTGAAACCCAGCCCAGGACGAGTGTTCAGGTCTTCCCCACACAGTGAGATGGGGGTGATTATTGGCAAATCCTACTGTTGATTGGAACTCATTTGGGCACCTGAGAACGATGGAAGGATTGGTGGTGTGGCTCCCATCAGGATCTTCTCCCCTCCCCACACCCCAAGTTAGAGAACTGGTTCCTCCATCCAACCATCAGGTAGAACCCTCCAATGGTCACAACACAACAAGTTATTACTGCACCTTTGTTTCCAGCTGCAGGTTTATTTTCAATTCAAAATCTATATGTAGAAGTCACGAGACTGCCACAGGTGCTTCACACTATTGAGTAGAAAGCCCACAGGAAGCAGACAGATGGATGGACTCAGCTGCCCCCGCCTCCTCAGACGGGGGGAGGTCAGCTGAGTCCTTAGGGGGACAGGAAAGCCCAGGGCCAAGGGGAAAATAACACAAACCCTGCGTGGGGAGCTTCCAGTAAAGGCAGGGAATCACCACGCCATTCAAACGAAGACCCTCCAGTCCCTCTCCTTGCCTAAGAATGTCACACCATTTGTTAGAAAGTTTGCCTACTGTCCCCAGTAGCAAAGAACAGATAGAATTTTACCAGCAGGAGCTCAGAAACATGCTAATAGCAAAAGGTGAAGTGGTCTGGGGATTAGGGGTTGATTTTCAGCCCAAGACACAAAGCCAGCTCAGACTTCTGAATTTTTCCATCCTTGTTCACGTCACAGTGGCGCAAAAGAATCTCCCGAAACTTATCAAGGTCCACCCCTCTGATGCTGGGCTGAGGACAACAAAAAACAACATGTCAGTAGGCAAGTCAGTGGTGGTCCCACCGTTTCATGCCACCCTGCCCCCACTCCATGCCTACTAAACTTAGGGGACACCCAGCCTTCTGGGAGCGCCTCCCTGAAGACAGGCCTCCAGGGAGGACTCCATCTCTTCATCCCACCAAACATTGCCAAGGACTAGTTTTCTGCCGCCAGGTTCAATTCTCATCCTGTCCCTTCAGGTCAGAGAATGTCTGTTCCTACATCACTTATCTGCAGTTTGTACAGAAAGTCTGCCTTTTTTGCAACCACAATAAAGATATTTTGCCTTAGAGCAGAGGACTGTCGCCAAAATTCTGTCTCACTACACTGATGAGAGAAGGTACATTTATTAACTCCCTGCGGAGATACTGACATCCCCGTCTGGTTTTTAAAAGGGTAGCAATGAATAAAAATCTAAAGAATTATGTTGTTGAGCCAGACAGACCCCATCAGATTTATTCCAAGGAATAGTTCAGGAGCTCAGAAGGAATTGTGATGCAGGTCAGCTAGGAAAATGTTGTAAACTTGAAGACCTGCAAAAGTGAACAATGGTGGAACTCAGTGATTCTTCCTAGGTTATTTAATTTAACCCTCACAATAACTTTGGGAGGTAAGTGGTTACTTCTTGTTTACAGATTAGAACACAGAGGCTCAGAAAGAACTGAGATATCTTGACATGCCAGAAGTTGCAGGAGCATTTTTGATCCCAAGTCTTTTGTTTCCAGTTAAGTGCTCATTTCACCAGTTCTCACTGTTCTTGTGGGGAATAGCTGGCCTAATGAAAGCCATATGAATGGTGATGAATCTAAATTTAAAAGCCAGCATCTGAAGAGAATGGAAAAACCAGCTAATCAGATTTCCAAACCCTTTGATTTTCAAACCCTTCATTTAGTGGACTAGTTATGAGTAAAGAGTGCAGGCAGCAGTTTGCAGGATTTGATTTCATGAATTCTCAGAAACATTTCCCATCACCTAACCTCACCCCAAGGTTTCCTCACTTCCAAAGAAAGTTCTAGGAAACCTGCAGTAGGAAACAAAAGCTTTCATTCTACAACTAGACAACCATATTAAGACAAGCTAATTGGCACTGTCCCACACGGTGAATGATTGACACCAAATCCACCCTGATAGGTTTTAACAGGAGAAGGGGAAAGAACAGCAGGAACTGGGAGCCAGATGGCAGAGAGCAAGAAGGGAAAACAGAGTGGGGCAGGATTCTGGGAGAATCAGGAGGGCCAGAAGCTAAACTTGGTGGACTTCACTTCTCTGCCAAGAATCTTGAGTGATTGGACGAAGAGGCTAAGGTGTAACCCATTGTCTATAGGTTCTCTTTGTTGAGTATAGCTCCCTGGGTATCAGTGCCAAGCAGGTGTAGAAGTGGCCCCAGGGAATGTGGCCTAGAGGTCCTAAAAACAGCAAGCTACCCTCTGTGGCTCCATATTAAAGGCTCGTTTGCTGTGCAGCTACAAGGCAGGGATGTTTGGGCTTCAGTATCCTCAAACCACTTTGGCTACAATCCTTTCTGCAGCAAATGGCACCCTGTCTCAGGATCCTTTCAGTATGCTTTTGAAAAGACTCAGGTGGTAGTCATTTACATATTAGCAAAAATTTGCTAAGGTATTTATGCAATAACCAGGCTATTCTAAGCACTTTTTCCCCCTTAACGTGCTTCCTGCAAAGGAATTATTTCCTTTAAGTGAGTTGAAATATTTTTGCATCTGTGGAAGTATGTGTTGGGGAGGCACTTGTGGGTATGAATGTGGGTATGCGAAGGAAGTTTCTTTGGACCTTTTGAGTTGTGTTTTTAATGCTTTATAACTTACTAGGAGTTAGGAGAACCGAATGACACTGCTCAAAAATGCTTGGATCACAGAGGACAAACCATTTAAAACCACTGAGGGCCTCTGTTTTAAGAACAAGTTGCCAATATAAATGCATGCAGTTTCCCTTCTAAGGTCTGTATGCGTCCCCTTTTGCCAACCATCTTCTTGTCAACAGAGAAAAGCAGATGGTGTATCCTGCTGTTGAGACCTGGGGGTAGGACCTCTCATTGTCTCCAGGAAGACACCTCTAGCATCCCTTTTATTTGGCTTCAAACATTATCGTTCACATGTCTACTTGTTGGTGGGTGCTTAGAATCTGGAATGTCTTGCGTTCCCACTTTCTAGTTTAGGATGTAGACTGTTGTGTTGGTGTTGATTTTCTTGCTGTGCTAAGTGAGCTACAGTCTTTTAAAGAATCTTGTGCAGAAGTTATGGTGTCTGCTCACTCAGGGACTTGCTGTCTCAACATATTGATGGAGAACAGGCTTGGGTACTGTTTTCCAGAGGTTAAAGAAAAGGGTGATCTGGTAATCAGATAATCTTTTTAACACAAATTCAACCTATATGTCATACATGACTGTATAAGAATTAAAAAGCTATAAAACAAGCTTGTGCTCAAGTCGCTCAGTCATGTCCAGCTCTTTGCGACCCCATGAACTGTAGCCTGCCAGGCTCCTCTGTCCATGGGATTTTCCAGGCAAGAATACGGGAATGGGTTGTCATTTTAGGATTATTGTAAACATCAGGGGTTCTGTCCAGAACTGTATGTTTAGAAACTGAGCCAGCCCCCTGATGACTCCATGGCATGATCTGAAAATTGCTTTTAAAATAAGTTACAGGCATTGGCTTCATTGCCTTGTGGCCCTTTCTTATAAAATGAAAATAAAATTCACAGGAGATGGCTCTAGCTAATGAAGCTGAGAAAAATCAGATCTCAGTGGTCTCAGTATCAGGCTCTCAGTGACCCAATGGTCATATTTGACTACATCTTTCAAATAGTCTGGTGAATATTTTTTTAAGCAACATGGAAGACTAAAAAGGTTCAATAAAGATAGGCGCCTTCAATCACCTGGCTTCAGGGGAGAACATTAGTAACTGCTGTGTACATACTTTGTAGCTCAAGAGATCAGCTCCTAAAAACTGCTTTTGTATTCGGACCAGTCTGACCCAGTCCTTGGAAACCGGCTATCTCAAGCTGTCTTGTACTAACATGGAGAAGTTCCAATAGCCCCACAGAAATAGAGTGGCAAGGACAGAAATGATGGGGCGCTTCTGATTTCCCATAGAGGCGCTATGAGTCCATTAAAGAGTGAGACAGACTTCTGCTTCCAGCTCAGGTTTTTAGATGGTCTCAAATTTTTTCCTTTAATTTTCTCTAGAAAATTATCTTCTCTGCTGTTGCTGGTTTAGGTTTTACTTCCATGGTCTCACATTAACCTTTCGAAGCCATTGCTAAATCCAGAGACGGCTGAAAGACAACTGAAAGAGTCTGTAAGGATCTGAAGCCTCTGGGCTCGACAGGCAGTTAGGAGCCCTGGCTCCACTGCAGAGAGGAGGCCACACAGCTCTGGAGAATAGGTTCCCAATCCCATTCATTCTAGCAAAAGCAAATTAAAACTCCAGTTAGACAAGGCCTTCTGCTGTGCAGCTTTAATGTCCCATAGATAACTGCTCACTTTCTATGACAGAAATCATCCTGGTGTTAAATAGATAATGAGTGAAATGGAATTTTTCCTTTAGCAATCAGCGTGTAAAAGGCAACACCACACCAGCACCCAGCAACTGTTCTGACTGTGCAAACACTAGTGAAATCTCCGACAAGAGCAACATGTGAAGGGGACAAAGAAGGGGCAAGGGGCCCGTTGAGTGGGATTAATAAGAGTTAGGCGTTATCCTCATTAGACCTCAGAAATAAAAAAATGTCTCATCCATACCTGCTTAACTACAATATGTAAACTTTCTGGAGATTTCTGCCGAAATTGGTATCTGATCATTTTTCCACTGCAAAACCCCATAATTCGAATCAGATTTTTAAGAAGGTCTGAGACTCCAAATACAGTTACTAATTATTGCTACTCTAATTTATTACCATCTAGGCCAATCAAGAAATGATCCTTGTGTCCTATACAAACCTCAAAAGCAATCCCTAAGAATATTACCCCTAAGGTCACAAAGAGTCAGACACAACTGGGTAACTGAACTGAAGGATATTAAACTACTAAATTCAGTGGCGGCGGCTGCTGCTAAGTTGCTTCAGCCGTGTCCGACTGTGCAACTCCATAGACGGCAACCCACCAGGCTCCGCCGTCCCTGGGATTCTCCAGGCAAGAACACTGGAGTGGGTTGCCGTTTCCTTCTCCAATGCATAAAAGTGAAAGTGAAGTCGCTCAGTTGTGTCCAACTCTTAGCGACCCCATGGACTGCAGCCTACCAGGCTCCTCTCTGTCCATGGGATTTTCCAGGCAAGAGTACTGGAGTGGGTTGCCATTGCCTTCTCCGAAATTCAGTGGCTACACAGTCCCGTAGAAAAACACCCACATAAGTATTGAAAATATCTGGATTTTTCCTGGATCGTGCAGCTAGTCAATACAGTTCATCAGGATCTCAGAGGAGATTGCTTTTTCAAACATTGTTTACCCTACATGGAACAGCTCTGCGATGTAGATACGATCTAAATTACATCAATCCCAACCACTGCAATGCCCTTCTACATAAAACAGCCATCTTAGGCTAGGTGTTAGAGCAGCCAGCTGCAGGGTTGGGGGCACTGAGTGCAACAGTGCGTGCATGGGACCTTTTGAAGGAGGTTGCTGTTATCTTCATTACCTCCACCATAGTTTGGTCTCAGATCAAACAACAGGGAGGCATCACAATCCTGCCCATCAACAGAAAATTGAATTAATGATTGACTAAGCATGGCCCTGCCCAACAGAACAAAACCCAGTTTCCCCCCCCCAGTCAATCTCCCGTCAGGAAGCTTCCATAAGCCTCTCCTAACAGAGGGCAGACAGAATGAAAACCACAATCACAGAAAACTAATCACATGAACCACAGCCTTGTCTAACTCAATGAAATTATGACCCATTCTGTGTAGAGCCACCCAAGACGGATGGGTCATGGTGGAGAGTTCTGACAAAATGTGGTCCCCTGGAGAAGGGAATGGCAAACCATTTCAGTATTCTTGCCTTGAGAACCCCATGAACAGTATGAAAGGGCAAAAAGATAGGACACTGAAAGATGAACGCCACAGGTTGGTAGGTGCCCAATATGCTGCTGGAGAAGAGTGGAGAAATAACTTCAGAAAGAATGAAGAGATGGAGCCAAAGAGAAAACCACGCCCTGTTGTGGATGTGACTGATGATGGAAGTAAAGTCTGATGCTGTAAAGAGCAATGTGGCATAGGAACTTGGAATGTTAGGTCCATGAATCAAGGGAAATTGGAAATGGTCAAACAGGAGCAGCCCCTTGGTGTTAAAAAAAGAAAGAAAGAAAATCCCAAATATGGAATTTATTACATGAAATTAAACATTTTAGTTATTTTAGTAACCAAGTCCATGGGAGGAAGACCTTCTGTAATCAAAAAATGAAACAGCAAGGTGCTCCTTTGGTAAAATGGATGACTTTTAAATGATGGTAACAAGAAGCTGCTCTGGGGGCTTTACTTAATTGGAACTACAATTGATCTCAAGAGAAGAGATTTGTTGGGTTTCACAAATGCTCAAGGGCTTCCCAGGTGGTGCTAGTGGTAAAGAATCTGCCTGCCAGTGCAGGAGAGATAAGAAACACAGGTTCGATCCCTGGATCAGGAAGATCCCCTGGAGGAGAGCATGGCAACCCAATCCAGTATTCTTGCCTGGAGAATCCCATGGACAGCAGGCTAGAGTCCATAGGATTGTAAAGAGTCAGACATGACTGAAGAGACTTAGCACAGAGGCAAAGATGATCAAAGTTTGTTAAATCGACTGCATCCCTAGATTTTCTGCATCATTACTCTTTGGCCCTACTGATTCCCCCCAAATAAACAATGGAATCAAAACAGCAGCCCCAATTCCTGATGAGAATGATCTATCTACACAGTCTCATGAAGTCACCTGGACAAGCTCCATCATGTCTTTGACAAACCCATCCACTTCTGGTCCTTCTAGGGCTCCAGTTTTACTCTGAAAGATAAAAGATCCAATCAGCCAAATATAATTTTCTTAAGTCAAAAAGCTTAAAGAATAAGTTACACAAGTAGACCAAATCAGTATTCTTTTGTGACTGCAAACAAGTTTGGAAATGGTATGTTCTAACATGTTCTCTGGGTAGGAGAGAACATACATTCTCCACATAAATCAAAAGAATTCACTCTAAGTAACTTCCCTCATAATCAATGGAATGGTTTGCAATGGTTTTGATGGAAGCAGTAGTTTTGAGCTCCTTACTGTGACAAACAGCATTAAAGACTATATCAACTTTATTTACTTCCCAAATACTAGGACTCAGTTCAGACTAGTGCTAATTACACATTCCTTGACCCTTTGAAAGACATACTGCCATTTTAAGATTTTGCTTTGATTTAGCAATGATTTAATTATTATCAAAACACATTTTAAATTCAAGAGGTACTAGATTGAGTGAGCATATTAGAATTATTATATGGTTCATGTATAAAATACCCATTTTATAAGAATGCCTATAAAAATACAATACATACTAAAATATTTCAGTTTCTTCTCTAAAGTTTCAGTTATGACAGGTCATCCATTTTCTTCAAGGTTTTTTAATCCTGAACCTTTAACATAATATTTTTTTAAAAATCCATTTCCTTAGTGTGTTTTACCAGACACTGGTACAGTAATTGCTATATGCCAGGAACTCCTCTAAGAGCTTTACAAACATGAATTCACTTTCCCCCTATTTCTTTAGATTGGGTGTGGTTTTTTGTATGACTACTTGCTTTTGTATTTGAGCATGCTAATATAGAGACCAAGAAGGAGAAACTTTCTTTTAGTTTGGATATAAGCACAGAAAAGAGAAAAAAAAGCGACTTTATTCTCTTCTCCACCAATACTCCTATGTCTATTTATACTTAGTTCTCAGAAGTTTTATTATAGAGAAGCTAAGGGGCCTTGACACAGCAATACACGTGTGCGATTGCTGTTCATCACCTAAGGTGAGAGTCTGTGAGGGACACCACATAGGGACTAAACAAGCTTCCTACCTAAAGATGGCCAGCATAGTATATCAAAAAGGCACACTTACAACATCATAGTGAGCAAAGATTTTCTCAAAGTCCCTTTTTCTTTCTTCAGTGGAACAAGCCTGTGTATGGAGAAAGTAGTATGTCAGTCAATAATGTGAACCTTCCGTTGTACCATTCCTCCAGGGTCGTAGGCAGCTTTTATAAACTTTGAGTCAACAATCCTTAATCCCTTAATCCCAGCACTGAGCTTTGTCAGTCTCTAAATAAACTGAAGGCAACACAATTAAATGCCCATCTTCCCTCCCTCTGAAATCTGTGGAGAAACATGAATGATACAAACCCATCTAGAGAAGTGTCACTACTCACATCCATTTTAAATTGGAGAAGGAAATTTTCCTGAAGAGCCAGAATCCTAAATAGGAAAAAGCCCAAAAACAAAAAATGTAATCCATGTGATGATCTTTCAGCTTTCAATTACAAGTAAAATGTATAATTCAAGTGTGATGAAAGGACAGGCAATTTCCAAGTTATTCTGCAGAATAGGATATGAGCTTGGAAAACAGGACTTTATACAGTACAAAAATTAAAGAAGGGAAAGACTTTCACAGGAATTAGTAGTCACCATAGACATGTAAAAATTCCAACAAGGTTGCAAGTACAAGGTCATGTGCAAAATTCAGTTTTTCTATATATTAGTAATGGCCAATCCAAAAAAGAAAGCAAGAATACCATTCCACTTATAATAGTATCAAAAATAATAAAATTCTTAGGAAAAAGTATAAGAGACCCTAAGACTTAGAGAGTGATTTTTTTCAACATTGATCTATAGTTTTCAAAGATGACCTAAATATTACTGCAGCCATGAAATTAAAAGACGCTTGCTACTTGGAAGGAAAGTTATGACCAACCTAGACAGCATATTAAAAAGCAAAGACATTACTTTGCCAGCAAAGGTCCATCTAGTCGAAGCTATGGTTTTTCCAGTAGTCATGTATGGATGTGAGTTGGACTATAAAGAAAGGTGGGCACTTAAGAATTGATGCTTTTGAACTATGGTGTTGGAGAAGACTCTTGAGAATCCCTTCGACTGCAAGAAGATCCAACCAGTTCATCCTAAAGGAAATCAGTCCTGAATATTCATTGGAAGGACTGATGTTGAAGCCAAAACTCCAATATTTTGACCACCTGATGCAAAGAACTGACTCATTGGAAAAGACCCTGATGCTCAGAAAGATTGAAGGCAGGAGGAGGAGGGGACAAGAGAGGATGAGATGGTTGGATGGTATCATGGACTCAATGGAAATGAGTTTGAGTAAGCTCTGGGAGTTGGTGATGGACAGGGAGGCCTGGCGTGCTGCAGTCCACGGGTTTGCAAAGAGTCGGACATGACTGAGCAACTGAACTGAAATATTACTGAAGGACATCCGTGATCAGGAATTAGCCTTAATATTGTTAAGATGGCAATATGCCTCAAATTTATCTGTTTATCCAACACAATTACTATAAAAATCCCAGTTGCCTTTTTTGCATAAATTGATAATCTGATTTTACAATTCATGCGGAAATGCAAGGGATTTTAGAATAGCCGTAACTATCTTGAACAAACCTTTGAAATTCATTCCTGATTAAAGACTTACTCAAAGCAACAGTAATCAAGATAAGGTGGAGTGTACAACATAAGATGTAGTACTGTCGTAGGGATAGACACGTGGATCAATGGAATAGAAAAGACAGTCTAGAAATACACCTATACATTTATGGTCAACTGATTTTTGCCAAAGCCATTGAATGGAGAAAGAATAGTCTTTGAAGAAATGGTGTTGTGGCAAATGGATATCCACATAGACTCCTACCTCATACCATATATAAAAACCCAAAAGGTATCAAAGGCCTAAAAGTAAAAACTTATAAAACTCAGGAAAAAACATAAGGATAAATCTTCAGAAGCTTAGATTTTGGCAGTGGTTTCCTATATATGACACCTAGAACATAAGCAGCCAAATACAACCAAAACAAAATTCTGTAAAATTAAGCAAAATTAGATAAATTCAGTTCAGCTCAGTTGCTCAGTCACGTCCGACTCTTTGCAATCCCATGAGCAGCAGCACGCCAGGCCTCCCTGTCCATCACCAACTCCCGGAGTGCACCCAAACCCATGTCCATTGAGTCCGTGATGCCATCCAACCGTCTCATCCTCTCTCGTCCCCTTCTCCTCCTGCCCTCAATCTTTCCCAACATCAGGGTCTTTTCAAATAAGTCAGCTCTTCGCATGAGGTGGCCAAAGTATTGGAGTTTCAGCTTCAGCATCAGTCCTTCCAATGAACACCCAGGACTGAACTCCTTTAGGATGGACTGGTTGGATCTCCTTGCAGCCCAAGGGACTCTCAAGAGTCTTCTGCAACACCACAGTTCAAAAGTGTCAATTAGATAAATGAGGCCTCATCAAAATAAAAAACTTTTGTTCTTCCAAGGATTCAATCAAGAAAGTAAAAAGGGAACCGTATACAATGGATGGAGAAAGCTTGCTAATCATGTATCTGATAACTATCTAGTATCCAGCATATGTAAAGAATTGCTACATATTGCTACATATGCTACAAAGAATTGCCACATATTGCTACATATTTTAATTTCCAATAAAAGGAAAATTAACCCAATTTTAAAGTAGGCAAAGGATCTGAATGGACATTTCTCCAAAGAAGAGATACAGATGGCCGTGAAAATATGTACAAAATTATTAGTCATCAGGGAAATACAAACCAAAATTACAGTGAGGAACACACCCACTAGGATGATGCCAACAATAAATGCTGATTGGAATATGGAGAAATTAGAACCAAACCTTAGTATATGGTATTGGTGGGAATGTAAAATGGTGTATCCACTTTGGAAAGCTGTTTAGCAGTTCTTCAGAAAAGTAAGCACAGAAATACTATATGAATCCCAAATTCCACTCCCAGGTATATAACCAAGGGAATCAAATACTTATGGTCACACAGAAACATGTACAAAGGTGTCCATAGGCTCATTGTTCATAATAGCTAAATAGTAGAAGAAATAACCTGCATGGTCATCAACCAGTGAACATATAAACAAAACAATATATACATACAATGAAATATTATTCAGGTATAAAAAGGAAATATCGATACATGCTACAGCATGGATGATCCTTGAAAACATTATGCTCAGTGAAATAGCCAGACACTAAAGACCACATATTGTATAATTCCATTTATATGAAATGCCCAGAATAAACAAATATATAGGAACAGAAAGTACATTAGTGGTTGCCAGGGACTGGCGGGAGAGAGGAGGAGATAATGATTCTTAATGTTATGCAATATCTTTCTGCCTTAGTGAAAATGTTCTGAAATTAAGTAGTGGTGATGGTTAAGCAAACTTATGAATATACTAACATATACTGAATTGTACACCTTTTTAAAGGGTGAATTATATAGTATATATGTTATATTCAATAAAAGTTATCTGCTTCTCTTTTCTGCATAATTTCAATTGTACGTCGGTGGAATTGAGTCAGTTTCAAAAGACTAAAACCTTGCATTTATGTTGTATTTATAATCATGGATGTGTATATATAGGGAAAGGTAGAAAAAATATCATAACAGTGTGGAAAATTGTGCTTCTCTGGATGTCCAGGGTAGAGAGAATTAAATTAAGCCAAATAGAGGGTAGAACATCCTGGGACTCAGCAAGGAATACTGTTCTCATCTATTTGTTGGCATCATATCTTAGACAGTTTTTAGACATATTTTCCTTTGGAAAGGAGCTTGTATATAGAGTAATAGGGCTTCACTTCAGAATTAGGGATAGAGAAAGAAGATTCCCATGAATAAATATTTTAGGACTTTTTTGTTATTGAATTGGTTCCTTATTGCTGCTGTAACAAATTATCATAAACTTAGTAGCTTAAACAACACAAATTAATATCTTATAGTACTGGAACTCAGAAATCTGAAATGGATTTGACTAGTGTTTCACGGTGTTGACAGGGTTGTATTCTTTATGGAGGTTTTAGTGGAGAATCTGTTTTCTAGCGTTTTTCAGCTTCTAGAAGCTGCCTGCATTCTTTGGCTTATGGCCCCTTCCTCTACTTCAAAGGCAGCAATATAACAAATTTCTCTGTGGTTCTGATCTTCTGCTTCCTCCTTCCATGTTTAAAGGACCCCTGTTGTCATATGGCATCCACCCAGATATTCCAGAATAGTCTATTTTAAGGTCTGTTACTTAGCAACATTAATTCTATCTGCAGCCTTAATTATCTTTGCCATGGAACATAAGATATTCACTGGTCCTGGGAGATCAAGTCTCACCTTTCAGAAAGGAGAGTGTGCTGTCATTAAACCCCTAGGAACGTGTTTCTGAATCTTTGACACCATTTCCGTGCTACTCACCTTGCCAAGTCATTAAGATCCAACCGGCCATCTTTATTTTTGTCAAAGATCTTCATCTGGAATGCAGAAGGGGAAAGGACTGTAAGGAATACGTGTAATGGGAATTCATTTTGAAAATCATTAAAGTGCTTTGCTAATTTGTTCTTCTGATTATATATTTAAATTGGCTGAGGCTGACTCATAAGGTCTCTTCCTACAGAGGATAGAAAAAATATTTTTTTCCATGAAGGCAAAAGTAGCTGAGGAGGATATGATACAGGAGAAAGTCTCCCTCTATAAGCCTCAGAGGACTGTAGGAAGGGAGAGAGACAGTGAGGCAGAGCTGAGAGTGAAGTAGACAGATGTGTGAGCTAACTCCCCAGGAAAGGGGTTCTGGAGGAAGAGCACTGGCTACGGAAGGACAACGCTGAGTGTGGAGAGTTGCTTGGCTTTGCTTTCCCCGGACACTCTGAGATCCCAAGGATTTGGATGCTGAGTCAAGGACGAGTAGGCCTTCCATGGAGCCAGCTGAGTATGAGATGATGTGGGTCAGAGGGTGGGGGTGGGTCGCTGAATCAGCAAGCTGGAAGGAGGGTGTGGCAGAGCATTAGTGGTCTGCATTCGGCAGGAATCAAAGGATGGCTTCAACCATGAGTGTCAGCAAGGTAGCAGCAACCGTGTGGTCAGGAGGCATCACCCTGGAAACCAGAGCACTGTATCCAGGGACCTGGACTCCTCCCCTTCACCATGAGGTTCTCAGGGCCACTTTTCTCTCCTTACCCACCTTGATGTCATTTTTAGAGAAGGGTCTGGCTGAGAAGTCTAAGATGCCATGAGCTCTTCCTTACTCAAAGAGGCTGTTTAAATTTTTTAGATCAGACTAAGCTTTAAACAAAATTGGATTAAAAATTAAAATGGGGAAGACTAGGTTGGTTTAGGCAAGGTAGAGGAGACACATTTTTTTTACATATCTAAGTTGTACTAGGAGTGGATTTTGTGACTTAGCAACATTTTGGTGGTGTGGGATATTTCTAAATATATCCTTATGAGGAGGCTGCACAGGGAAGAAGCAGCAGTGAGATAATCTGAGGATAAATCTAGCAGATTTTTACATTAAAAACATACGAGTCCTTCCTTCATCTCTCCTCACTCTCTAAATCAAATTTATTTTTACTATTTGAAGTGAATTTGAAATCCCATTCTCCCAAAACCTTGACATCACAAATGTGTATTATAAAATTTATTAAAACACAGAAGCCATCTTGAAAAGATAAAATAGTTGCTAATCTGGTTATATGAATTTATTAGGATTTTCTTCCTCCCCAAACTCAATTATGGAAAGGTCTCAGAAAATGACCAGTTTATAAGAAGGAGGGAAGAGTAAGCTCCTAGTAATTCATGATCTCAGTAACTGAGAAGTTGTTTATAAATAGGTCTGTACTAACTCATGGAAGTACATTTGGTGAATTTTGAATGTTTGACAATTTCTGTGGCAGGTGGGGGACATAAAGGTTTCTTAATTTTTAAAACTCTAATAGTGAACTTTTGTAGAGCAGCCAACACTTCATATTTTATTTCATTTAATCACCACATTCTTAGAAGAAATAGCTGCATGCCATACAGGCAGGGAACTGGAATTTAGCAAGATTAATTTGTCTAAGAAAGTAGCAAGATTTGAATCCAAGCTTATCTGTCACAAGAACTCTTTCTATAAACCAGGCTCTTAGTTTTACAGGTTCTGGACATCTCATGGTTAATGTGGTACATGTTTTATTTTTGGTTATGAAAGAAAACATCTGGTGCCATAGATTAAGAGATGCCATAGAGATGTGGTATTTACTTTTTCTGATTGCCCTTCTTTCTGTGAGAAATAAAAAAAAAATCTATTTATGTGAGTTTCTCTCTGACCTTTGTGGACATTTGCTCATGGCACAAGTTACTCATGGAGGGCTTTGGTGGTTCATGGTGGTGGCTGTGGGGACAGGATTCCTTATGGGGACTTCCCTGGTGGTCCAATGGCTAAGATTCCCATGTAACCAATGCAGGGGGCCCAGGTTCAATCCCTGATCAGGGAACTAGATCCCACATGCCACAACTAAGAGTTCACATGCTGCAACTAGATCCCTCATACTGCAAGTAAGACCCAACAAAGCCAAATAGTAAAAAAAAAAAAAAAAAAAAAAAAATCCATTTTCATCCCCACGTTTCTCAGTACTAAGTACATGAAAGGTTCTAGAAAGTCTCTTGAAATGGAACACAATGACTTACTGACAAACTCCTTAAAATTCTGTAGGCCAGCAGGTCCCCTTCTTAGGCAAGAGACCCCTCAGAGTCTGTAGTTATACCCAGCATTCTCCTAAGATTTAATAATAGCTTTATCTTAATTTTTAAGATCCATATAGAGCCATCTGGTGGTGGTTTAGTCGTTAAGTTGTGTTTAAGTCTTTGTGACGCCATGTACTGTAACCCACCCAGGCTCCTCTGTCCATGGGATTTCCCAGCCAAGAATACTAAAGTAGTTTGCCATTCTCTTCTCCAGGGGATCTTCCCAACCCAAGGATCAAATTCATGTCTCCTGCTCGGCAGGTGGATTCTTTACCACTGAGCCACCTGGGAAGCCCCAGTAGATGCCACAGTGATTGTAAAATACAAATTCATTTAAAACCATTACTGGGTTAATCATAACTTCTTACCAGAAACAGTAGATCCAAGGTACGATTACAGTCCATAGATTTTTTTTTTTAACAATTGTTCATTGATAATTTGAGATAGAGTGCAAGGTCAAAAATATGCAGATAGTTCATAGCAAAGAGTACAAAGTAAAAGTCCTTCCTGTCCTTATTGTAGAGATAATTACCATTCACAGACTTATCCTTCCAGAAAATTTTTAAACATTTTAATATGTCTCCATTTTTTTTGGACAAATAAGACCACATTCTATGTATTATTTGCAACTTTTTAAGCAATATTTTTGAAAATCACCCCTTAACAGGTGTTTTGTTTGTTTACTTAAAAAGAGATTCTCATTTTTAAAAAGTCTGAATATTGTTGCCATATACACTCTGAAAAAGGATTTAGAGCCCCCTCCCAGGTTACTAAGTCAAGAATTATATGTTGAATAATTGGGCGTCCCTAGTGGTTCAGCACTAAAGAATCCACCGTCAATGCAGAAGACGCAGTTTCCATCCCTGGGTCAGAAAGATCCCCTGGAGAAGGAAATGGCAACCCACTCCAGTATTCTTGCCTGGGAAATCCCATGGACAGAGGAGCCTAGCAGGCAATAGTCGATGGGGTCACAAGAGAGTCGGATATGAGCGACTAAACAACAAATGTTGAATAGTTACCATGTGTCTAACAACATGCAAGGAACTGGGAGAGACTCACAAAAATCTTAAAGGTGGTACAGGCTTTTCGGAGCTTACAATGTAATTGGAGCAGCAAAAATGAATATCTGAAATAAGATTCAGCATTATCTCCTTGACCACTGAGACAAAGAAACAGAACAATATGTAAGAATACTGAGAAAGGAGATGGGACTTCAGATAAGTCCCAAAGGAGGGGCAGCTTGAAAGGTGGAGTTCATATTCACTGGGTTGAGGAAGATCCCGATGAAGCAGGTCTGTGGGGGAAGGTCAGAAAGTGAACTCTGGATATGCTAGGTTTCAGAGGCATATTGGGCATCCAAGTGGAGATATACATTCAACTATGTGCAAGTAGCTCAGAGAAGTACTCTCGGTCAGAGCTATAAACTGGAGGAGGTCACCATTAGCTGGTATTTAAAACCATGAGACTGGGTGAGGTCATCAGTATCATAATGGTGGACATGGAGGAGAAGAGATATCAAGAGAGCCTGGCAGGGGAGGGATAAATGTGGATTGGAGTTGAAATAGACACAGTACTGTATATAAGTTGAGAGCTCCAGAGAATAGCAAGGAGAGATAAGAAAGCCTTCCTCAGTGATAAGTGCAAAGAAATAGAGGAAAACAATAGAAGGGGAAAGAGATCTCTTCAAGAAAATTAGAGATACCAAGGGAGCATTTCATGCAAAGATGGGATCAATAAAGGACAGAAATGGTATGGACCTAACAGAAGCAGAAGATATTAAGAAGAGGTGGCAAGAATACACAGAGAAACTGCCAAAGGGATTTTCATGATCCAGATGATCATGATGGTGTGATCACTCACCTAGAACCAGACATCCTGGAACGTGAAGTCAAGTGGGCCTTAGGAGGCATCACTACAAACAAAGCTAGTGGAGGTAATGGAATTCCAGTTGAGCTATTTCAAATCCTAAAAGGTGATGCTGTGAAAGTGTTGCACTCAATATGCCAGCAAATTTGGAAAACTCAGCAGTGGCCACAGGACTGGAAAAGGTCAGTTTTCATTCCAATCCCAAAGAAAGGCAATGACAAAGAATGCTCACACTACCGCACAATTACACTCGTCTCACATGCTAGTAATTTTGATATCTCCATGTCAAAATTCTCCAAGCCAGGGTTCAACAATACGTGAACTTCCAGATGTTCAAGCTGGTTTTAAAAAAGGCAGAGGAATCAGACATCAAATTGCCAATATCCGCTGCATCATCAAAAAAGCAAGAGAGTTCCAGAAAAACATCTATTTCTGCTTTAATGACTATGCCAAAGCCTTTGACTGTGTGGATCTGTGGAAAATTCTGGAAGAGATGGGAATACCAGACCTACTTACCTGCCTCTTGAGAAATTTGCATGCAGGCGAAGAAGCAGAAGTTAGAACTGGACGTGGAACCACAGACTGGTTCCAAATAGGCAAAGAGTACATCAAGGCTGTATATTGTCACCCTGTTTATTTAACTTATATGCAGAGTACATCTTGAGAAATGCTGGACTGGATGAAGCACAAGCTGGAATCAAGATTGCCGGGATAAATATCAATAACCTCAGATATGCAGATGATACCACCCTTATGGCAGAAAGTGAAGAACTAAAGAGCCTCTTGATGAAAGAGGAGAGTGAAAAAGTTGGCTTAAAGCTCAATATTCAGAAAACAAAGATCATGGCATCTGGTCCCATCACTTCATGGCAAATAAATGGAGAAA